TTTCTTTGTGGCTCGGGCTCCCTATTTTCGTTGTTCGAGGTTTGGGCTTGGAAACATTTTATGATGATGTAAATGAAAAGCTATTAAAAAAGCCCGGTTCGTTCCCTACGAACATGGACACGGGATCCTTGGTATGCTTCTCGACAAGTAAAAACTTTCAACAAGCAGTAATCGCAGGCCTTGATTTCTGAGGTAATGACAGATGCGATTCGAGGGTTTAGGGCCTAGAGGCGTTGAACCTCCTATGCTTGAAGATGCATTAGAAAGATCTAGGCGCCGAATGTCCCTTGAGCGCATTGCCGAGCAGCCAAGGATCTTGATGTGCCCGATAAAGAAGAGGCGGCTGGTGTGCACCGTTCATTTTCCGGGGCCCAAAACCCAAACCCGAAATCCCAAACATTAAAGCCCCAAATATTAGAATTCCTGCACTCCTAGAAAGCCTCAGCACCCTAAACCCTTGCACACTTGAAAGCCCTAAAAGCCCAGGCACCCTAAAGCCTTTTCCCCTTTTAAAATTTCAGCCGCGATGACCTGTGAAGGATGGGGGTGTGTTTGGGTTTTGTGGTAGAGGTTCCAGGTTTTCACGTTTGATCAGGCGCGAGTTCTACCGCCACCTCGTCGAATACGACTCTGAGTGGCATGCGAGCTTGATATGGTGGGGGCTTTGGGATAACTACCTCTGTTTTTCAGGGCGGGCCATAGTACAAAATGTCCCCAGAACCCATTCCAATGTCGATTAGCATGTGCTGCAACTCCGTAGGTTTCAGATCACAGAAACTCAGCAGGTGAATATTCATCCTTGCAGGGTGCGTGTGCACATAGCATGTGTATCTCTAAATACATGTGTTTATATATATATATATATATATATATATATATGTACACACGTATGCACAGTCTTATGTGTATATATATATATATATGCATATACAGATCCAGGTACAGATAAATAGGTATGAATATAGATGTAGATATGCTATTATATACATATACATATACATATACATACGTACCGTATATATCAGCCTCCCATCTTCCAGGGGTAGAAGCCGTTCAAGAGCCGGCTGCAAGGTGTCGAGGTTTCATTTCCGATGGCGGTCTGGGCCGGCTCAAGTTTCAGGTTAAAGGTTCAGGGTTTAGGGTTCAAAGTTTTCGGGTTCAGGGTTCAGGGTCAGAGGTTTAGGGCTCAGTGTTTAGGATTCAAGGTTGCGGGTTTAAGACTTAGGGTTCGGGGTTTAGGGTTCAGGGTTTAGGTTTTCGGGTTTCAGTCTTTTGAGATCTCTGCAGCCTACGCCCAAGGAATGGGAGGCGGTTTGCGGCGCCTTCTGCTACATGTTCCTGCTCTTCGGCAGCCTAGGAGGATTCCTTGGCCTGGTAGTCGAGTAGGTAACCTTTAGCCTGATTTGGGTAGTATAGTGCCTATATAATCCCTAACCAGAAAGGTTAGCCTTTAGTTCCCCATGATACCCGACAAATAGGTTTGTAGGCCGCTTTTGATTCCTGCAGCAGGTTCGTTTCAGGGTTCTTGTATATGGATCCGAAAAGGTTCGAACACCCCAGAGGAGTGAGTCGAATAGGAACACCCGAGGCCTTGGAGGTTTAGGGTGTTGGGATTCAGGTTTAGGGTTTAGGTTGCGGCCTTGTCCTTTTTCATGGTTCTCCCAAAAGAAATAACAGACCGGCTAGTAGACCTTCTTAACTAATTCCTACTAAGGGATATAGGTATAGGGCTCTGTCTATTACTTCTATAAGGACAAGGGTGTTAGGTTGAGGATCCTGAGACTTTGTCAGACTTTGTAGGAATTCAGGCACCTGCAAGCCGTTTCTTGTTGTGAACAAGCATCAAAGTGGCAAGCAGGTCGCCACACTGTGGACCGCCGGAGACTTTGAAGAGGCTGCTTGGGCTTCTCAATACGGTGTCGATGATATAAATCCTGCATTGCCCACAATAAGGCCGAAACCATAATGCCGACAGTTTGAGGCCTTTCAGGTAATGCAGGATTTATGTCATCAACAGTAGGACTGAGGGTCTTTCCGGGGAATTGTGTTTAAATCTCTGTTAGAATGCACGCCCAACGTCAACGGCTATCCGGGTTAATTTAGACTCACAGCAATTCGTTGATCGTTGGTCCACACAGCTTGTCCTGGGTTTGGAGTACCATACTTGAACACTTTTTGTTGGTACCTCTTCCTGAAACGAACCATTATGAAATGAGCGTCTATACTTTTTTCTCCCTGGTTACTTCAAAGTCCAGTTGTAGTTTACTTTAGGGCGCACACACTGTTCTGAGTCTTTAGCTTTTGGAGTGCCCAGGAAGGCATGCCCCCCAAGAAAACATCGACATTAGCGTCACGCCGAAGCGGACTATGTATTCCCAAGCCTCGATTTGGGTGGTTGTCAAAATTATGGTCCCTTTTTCGGGAACCCTAAGTATTAGGTGCCGTACTATACTAGGGACCCAAAAAGGGACCATGATTTTGACAACCACCCATTTGGGTCTCTGATGCAGGAGCAATGCCTTTCGCGGGCTTGCATTGAAGCTGCAAGTCTTTGCACATGCAAACGATGTCGGAGCTTCGGCACTGTACTTAATAACAATATTACTAGGAGTGATAGTAACAATAATAATAAGAGTGTCTATACTTCTAATTATACCCTCAACCGAGCCTTACTAAGGCAGAAGCCGTCGAAGCAACTTGAGCCATAGCGCGCTACTTTCCCAGCCTCCGGCACTTCAGTCTTCAAAGGATCTGCGACTGCCTCCTCTTCCTCGATGCCGAGGCCTGCTTTGGGAGGGGAACCAGCTACATACCCTAATCCATATATACTTAATAAAACCCTACATACCCGACGTACTCTAGATACCCGTTAGATACCCTACATGCCTTTAACCCAGAATCCCAGAAAATTCAGCGTGTGCGCCTTCTCTGAATCGCAGATGCTGCAGCTTCGTGCTTCCCCTGCATCCTAGGATTTCGTCCGCAAGCCCTCCGATTAGAGAAATGACTGCCCATATTTATGGCTTTAGAGGTTTAGGGTTTATGGAGTTGAGTGTTTCAGGGTTTAGGATGTTGTGGGTGGTGTGGACGAACTCCTGTCGACGAAGAGCGAAACAGAGGACGACTTTGACATCGTCAAAGAGCATGTGCACAAGCGAACAACGTGTGCCTTCCTAATTGCTTCAAATAGAATGCAGAAGGCAAACGTAGAGTGGCATTCAATTGCAGAGTGGGGCTTGGGGCATACAGCATGTTATTATTCAGCAGGGTTTTGGGGCCATCGCATACTGTTCCAACTCTACGGGGGTCATGTTTACTTGAGGCCCTTACGCTTGCATTGCGTCCTAGATCGAAGAGGCCAAAGGGGTCCTTTGCAGTTCCGGACAGAAGTATCAGCTCATAGCTGTAGCTTACATAGAGTTTAGGGAGGTACGGTTTAGGACTCGGGTTAACGATTGGAGATTTAGGATTCAGGGTTTAGGATGTAGGGTTAGGGTTTAGTTCTGGATTTAGGTTTCAAGGTTTCGAAACTGGCGATGTAAGACTTAGAGTTTAGGGTGTCGACAGGCGTCATCGAAGGTGGAGCTAGATGTCGAGACGGCGGAGGAGATGCATCAGATGAATGCCAAGCTCCAGCAGGTGCTCGATCCCTCTTTGGGCCTTCAGCCTCCTCGATTGGGGTTCAGTCAGGGTTTAGGAGTTGAGGGGATTGAGGCGTGGTACCACAAGGGGCTCTCAGAAATGTTGTTGCTCACGGTATGTTGCAGCTTAGGTGGGAGTGCAACAAGGGGTTGTGAGGGCTCTTGTACGGATACTTGGTAGTAAGCCTGTAGGAATTCCTGTGCTATGGACAAATTCCTCACTTTTGCTCTGAGCTGAAATGATACTTGTCGAAAAAGCTCCACCGAAACAAGCAAGACGTCCCTTAGAGACCTGGTTCTGGGTTTTGGGGCGGTAGGGTTTAGAGATTTTAGGGTCGTCCGGGATCAGGATTTGTAGCAGTCCAAATTTATGAGCCACATCAAGACGCGTCTGCGGCTGAAGCCTTGCCGAATCACCAATCTTGGGCTTCAAGGCGGTAAGACTTTCGGGTATTTGTGTCATCCCTGGACCAAAAAACTGTCTTCTGCATCCACAATCCCTTGGGTTTCAAGCTTCCTGAAAGCCTTAAAGGTTGATTGAAAAGACGGCGGCTAGCAAGGAGAGCTCTACTGGTACATTGAAAGTGGGATTCTTAGAGTCTTTCCGTAAAGCGTTTGGGTTCAGAGGTGTAGCGTTTAGGGCTTTCGGGATTAGGGTTTTGCTTGAGGTACTCCTGTTCGCCTCAAAGATAACTTGAAGTGCCATCCCCTCCCAAAAACTTCGCGGCTGCAGACCGCCGTGGCAATGGTCGAGTACCTGCGAGACTACGAGCAGGATTGGAGCTGTTGATCAGTCTTCCTAGTATGTTTTAGTTGTATAAGTACAAAAGCTGGAGCCTTGGAGGGGCCTATCTTCCAGCGATTGTGCGCATGCTTGCATTCGGGATTAGACTCGGTTCTCCGCTCCGCCCCTCACTCACCCAACTGCAATCGCCGGTTGGCACTGTCGGTGCCCTGCCATCTGGATCTGCATGGCATTCTATGGTTGCACCCCTGCCTAGTGCCAGACTTCTAGAGTGCGCTCTTCATAAAGCCAAGAATCGGCTGAGCATTCCAGCTGACTTGGAAATACAGTACCTCGCCTTTCATGGGGCTTTGCACCCGTGGCTCATTGTAGGCTTCAACTTTGCACCAAGGGCCCTACTTGGGGGCTCATAAGTGGGGTTATAACTTATAAGATTAAGGGACTAAAAGTCGCTCAATGTGGGTTATACCTGTAGTTGTCCTACTTATAACCCTACTTATAACTAACAATGAACCTCCAAGTAGGCCCGAAACCCTATACCCTTATAGAATCCCTATAGATCCCTTTAAAGGGACAAGGTGCCCTAGGCCCTAAGCGCTGAAACGTGCCATCCCATGGCTCCTGCCGCTCAGGAGGAGCTGTGGTACAGCGAGGTCGGCGCAGAAATTCTGGCTGACTTCCAGCCACCTGCTCGGAAAGCCCGAACCCTAAACCCAACCCATCCTTGGATTCTTGGAGATTGAGCCTTTTGGGAGTTTCCGAAAATTAGGGGAGACCGTATTTTGGGGGTCCTTTTAATAAGGATCCTACAAGTTAGGGTGCTATTAGGGTCCCCTGTTTTTCGGAAACTCTTAAACCCTTTATAGAACCCATAAAGAGCCCTTTCAGGAACCCTTGCAGGATCCCTTTAAAGGTACCCCTATCTTCGGAAACTCCCATATTGAACCCAAATTTGCCCCCTAAACCCGCAACCCATGCCTCGCCTCAAGCCCAAGTCGATGACCCGAAGCCCCTCTGAGCACCCGGTTTAGGGTTCAGGGTTTAGGGTTTAGGGTTTGTAACTCCCCAGAGAGCCCAATACTCCTTAACTAAGGAATGTAGCTTAAATCATAATATGAACCCTCCTATGATTTAAGGTATATTCTTTAATTAAGGGGTATTGGGCTCTCTGGGTCGGGAATAGACCTTCAAGTCATGAAGGGTCTGGGTTTAGGGTTTAGGGGGCCTTCTTGCGATGATAATCACAAGGCCTCTTGGGTGTACCTCGGACCCATCTTTTGTCAAGACTGAGCAAATGTAACTTGCTTCTTCATGGTCAGAAACCTACGTACTGGCCCTGCAGTTACCATCCAGTTAAGACTTGAAAACCCTAGACCCTAAGCCTCAAAAGAGGAAGAAGTCGAAGCAGAGACTCATAATCATCGTGCAGGGTGAGAAATGAGTGGAGGTGTTCTGTTTTGAGCGCCCGAAACGGGCGGGCCGAGACATCAACTCATCCCCAGCCTGCTTAAGAAGGCAACGGTTTAGGGTTTAGGGTGCAGAATTCATCCGATGTCCACGGTCCCACTGTTGGTTTCTTTTCGATGCTCTGAAGGTTTGTAGATGCTCGGCTGTTCTTCTTTCGGCCGCGGCTGCAGCGGATTCTGTGCGCATACCGGCTGCAAGTCAGGTTTGGGGATAGCACTGGGGCAAGAACAAAGTCCCTTTATAACCATATTGGAATATGCAAACAAACCCCTGTTCTGATTGCTAGGGCCCCCTATGGCCTGTCCCCATGTGCAAGCTTTGAGGGACCTGTCGAGCAGGTGAGTTCTAACGAATGTTCTGGTAGGTATAAGGAACTTGCCAAAAATTGTAGGGCCATTGTAGGGGGCTTAGGGTTTAGGGTTCAAGGGGGCTTAGTATTCTGATTCTGAGGTGTGCTTTGTAGTTAAAGGATATTCGCCTCTCATGGTTCGCATGTAGAGCAAGGCAGGTAATGCCCTGCTCCTTGAAGCCTCAACTCTTAACCCTACACTCCACACCCTAAACCCCAAAAGTACCCTAAACCCCAAAAGTACCCTGACCCTAGACCCTAAATAGTACCCTAAACCAGACCCTGAAGATGTCTGGCGGCGCGAGGGACCAGGGAGGTTTGAGTTTCCAAGGAGGCTCATCCCCTACGCCATTCAATTGAGGAGTCTATACTATGAGGGCCCAAATAAATACCGAAACTATTTTGGGGGGGTTCCTTAGTATAGTTATAATATACTGGGCCCCAAAACCCTATTAGAATTATTAAGGCCCCTAGATTACCTTAAACTAGGGCTGTTTGGCTGCATGGATCACCCAGTAGACCCCAGCCACTTTCAGGACCGTTTAGCAGTTGAAAGCAGGTTCTTTAATCAAACAGCTTCTAGAATGCCTACGAAACAGTTTCAATGCACGCCAATAACGTGTGTCAGACCTAGACCGTAAACCCTCGACCGTCAGGGCTGTTGGGTTCCCCAGGACATGTGGCATCCGAAGTACGACCATGTCAGCGACTGGGAGTACATGTGCTACGTGCTGAAGCTCCTCTACCAATAAAACCCCGGTCTCACTCAGAGTTTTCAGGGTTTACGGGTCTAGGATTTAGGGTTTTAATGTTTAGGAATTCAGGGGTTTTATGTTTGGGAATTTATCGTTTAGGGTTTCAGGGTGTAGGGCTTTACCGGAGCCTTCCGGGATTCTGCGGAACCTGTGTCTGTATGCAGCATCCCCCCCTCGTAGAGTTCCGGTGTGTCGAACCCTTAAAGCCTGAAGGGTTTTAAGGTTTAGGGGGTTTAGGGCTTAGGGGTTTAGGGTTTAGGGGATCAGGGTTTAAAGTTTAGGGATATGAACAGCCAGCTGCGTTGCTATTCGAGCTTAAGATTCGGTCTGGGTGTACGGAACGAGGATTCGGTTCCTCCACTAGGACCCAGAGTAGACCCTTATTCCCTTTCTTTCCCTTATACCCCCCCTGTAAACCAAAAAGGGCACCCGTTTTTTTTTATTCCTGTGCTACTCTTAGGTCTAGTCCAATAGCTGCAGCATGAACATGTGCGTCTGCGGGCGGTTTGCCGTCCTGAAGCCTTGTCTTCCTGCTCAGGGGCCTCAATAATTACCCAAACTGTTTTTTTTGTTGGGGGGGCCCTGTTCTAATTCCTCAACCCCCCGAATTTACTAGTAGGCTGCACCAAAAAGCCCTTGAAATCTGTTGGCCCTTGCAGAATCCTGTCGCAGACACCAGCATGCGGCCCCGAGCCGTGAGGGCGGCTGAAAGTCTGGATGTGCAACGATGCTTTGTAAGTTCCCCGAGACTCCAATATCCCTTAATGAAGGAATGAATATACTTTAAATTATTGTAGGATCCCTTAATATGAGTTGAGGTATATTCCTTAAGTAAGGGATATTGGAGTTTCTGGGTTTGTCAAAGGGGCAGATCCGGCCATGCAGATTTCTACTATAGGTGGGGGGTTCCTTATTCTACTTATAGTATAGTAGGCCCCGGCCCCAAAACCATATTCTGATTTGCCCCTATATTACCTGCCCTTTGTGGGCCCTTAGGAAACATCGAGCGCACGAGAGCCTGGCACATCGCAGCCTGAACCCCAAACCCCTAAGCAGCCTAACGCAAAAACCCATGGGGACCATAAATAATCCGAAACTCTAAACCCCTAAACCCTAAGCACTAAACCCCTAAACTATCTTGAACCCCAAACTTCCGAAGCCCTTTCGCTCTTTCCGTCCCTGTTGCAGAGGTTTCATGCCGGCAACATCATGGGGCTCATTTTGCTGATTCCCTGCGCACTGTGCCCGAGTCTGGAAAGCCCGGATCTCGGCTGGCTTTGGCTTCCTTTGCAAAGCGCGCAGTTCTCTAAATTAGGGCCCTTTTTGAGGTCCGAAAAGAAGTACGGCACCCGTATAAAAAGGACCCTAAACGGCCTAATCTAGAGAACTACCCTTGTAACGCATTACCATTCAAGGTTTAGGGCTCAGGGATGCAATATGGAATTTTTACAGCCTGAATAATTCAGTGATACCATTCCTGGGTTCCTTACTAGAAGTCTACCATAAGATCAAAGCCCGGTTTAAACTAGTTATGCCCGAACTTGGACTGGAGGTCTGAACCTAAACGTTTAGACCGGGCTTCGGGGCGGTCTATATTGTATTTTACGTATGGTAGGAACCCTAAAGGACAATGCTGCATTCTACCACAGTATGTCTCACTTACATTGTTACAAACCTCTTCCTCAGGGTTCCTGACTCTATTTGTGGCAACCATGGGTATTCCCCAAAACCTCGTATATTCTGATTGGGCTCAGCCGTTCACTTGCTAAATCCGAGATGCTGTGTCCAAAATCTGGGCCTGGAGATGTTGGAGCGTGGTTCAGGGTCTAGGACTTAGGGATTTAGGGTTTAGGGATGATGGAGCTATGAAAACCGGGTGTGATTGAAGCTCTTGAACCTCTTCGAGATTAGCTTTCTGAATGGCCGCCATAAAGGGAGTTCGGGTGTAGGGTTTAGAGAGTACTGTAAGGCGAAAGTATATACTCTTTGGGTACATGGATCGGAGTGTTGGATGGTCGATGCTGTGCCCCCAGAGGCCTTGAGACCAAGCATTCTGAGAGCCCAACACCGCAACACCTGAATGAATGAATTATGTTCAAGGAAGAAAAAGCTTCCTTTTGCTTGGCTGTCAATTACTGAGTTTTCCTTAGACGCCCCAAGGCCTCCTGTGACTTCTAGTATCGTGTTCTTATTACAGGGGTGTTGGGCTTCTGTCAGCGTCCGGTGCTATCGTACTGCCTCTGGACCTAGGCATATCAAGCCCCAGCTGTGTTGCCAGGTTATGTGTACAACAGGAAAATCTTGATGGAGAGAGATATACGAAAGCTGCCTGCCAGCAAGGAGAGTTTCAGATTTGAGTTTCTGAATGAGTCTGGTGTGATCCGCAGTGGCACTGTGGATGTGTTTCGAAGCTGGGTTGCCTGCCACGCACAAGAGCTGTGCATGCTTGGCATCATGAAATTCGAAGTCTACACCGCCAGTACCGACAGGCTTCCAGCCTTAATTACAGTTGTTCTGCGGGTAGCCGGTGTGCCCGAGCTTCACCTGACTCCCAGCCACTGAGGTTCAGAACACAAGGGCGCATACTCCTAGCTCCTAACTAAAGCCTGAACTCCAATCCCTACTTGGAGGTTCGTGGCTAGTTATAAGTAGGCTGATAAGTAGGATAACTATAGCTACAACCCATATTGAGGGACTTATAACCTCTCTTGTAACTACCCATGAACCTCCAAGTAAACCCATGTTCAATCCTGGTGAAAGCCTTGGTAGCAGATTTCGAGCCTAGGAGCTGGGTAAGTTGTGGGGAGGGGTTCAGTTTTTCGGATGCATCCTTGGCATCGCCGCCCTGATAGATGACAAACCCTAAACCCTATAGATCCCTTATGGATCCCTTGAAAGGAACCCCTATGGATCCCTTCAAAGAACCAAAAACCCGAAGCAAGATAGCTGCTGCCTGAGCCTTCAAGACTTGTCTCCCAATACGCAGGTAAGGCAGCAAGGTATGTTCGCTTTTGGTTAAGATATCTGTTTCAGGAAATGTATATACTCCCAGTGGTCACTCCTCCTTTAACCCACGCATCTTTCTCCAACTGGATTGCAGTTCCTTGTCTAGTCCTGTAAAAGCTGGAATTCTTTGCCAGACTACGTGTCGGAAGTTCTACGCAATGAACACGGAGAATGCATGTGACGACTCTTCAATGATGCTGCTGACGGTGGTGGCGAGGATGATGATGCTGGTGGTGGTGGCGATGATGATGATGATGATGACGACGTATGATGAGGATGTTGGTGTTCATGCTGACGATGATGCTAGTGGTGATGGTGGTGGTGATGTTGCTGCTTATGCTGACGACGGTGAATGCGACGGTTTGGGGGTCTTGGGCTCCGTGACACTCACGAGCAAGATCAGAATAGTTGGGCCCTTTTTTCTGCTCTCCAACTCCATTGGTTTGGGTTTGGATGGTGTATCCTAACAAAATGACCATTTTTCGGCTGCACGTGAAGACCCTAATCCCTTAATCACCAAGTGTCTCGCTTTGCTACCGTCCGCATGACCGATGAAGTAAATCCGCACCCCTGGGGCCTTTCTGGATCTTCAGTTGTAGCTATCCTGCTGGAACTATCTGATTCCCTGCCAATGCATCCTATCCAGCACGTTGGATAACCAAAGGTGTACTTTCTCTAGACTCAGAGGGGTACCGTAAACTCCCAAACCCTGTACTCCGTGAGACCTACCTGTAACCCCCTGTAACCCACACAACCCGCCCTTCCAAAGGAACATGACCAGGAAATCATTTGCAGGAGCCCCAAGCACCCTAAGGCTCCATGTGCCCATATGCATATGAGCTCATATATATATATATATATATATATATATATACACACACACTTATAAAGGCATTCAAGAGGCTCCCGAGGGGAGTATTCCTCATTATTCCGGCTCTGGTCTTATCGACTCTGGCTTGAGTTCGGGTGGTGTGTCAACCGAATTGCTCTGGCATGTATATGTACTGGTGCATACAATGTTGTTTTCTGTGAGTATGTAATGTACATACACCTGTGGAGACATGCACGCGTTCGATACTTACGTACATGGATGTTTATGGAAATATATATCTGCTAAATATGTATATGTGCATATGTGTATGCGTATGTGTACACACACACACATATATATATATATATATATGCTCGCCTGCAGTATACTGTGCATGTTAGAGGTCCTGGTGTCCTTGAACCGCAAGGCACTGCGCCGGATTGAGTTTAGGCTAACGCAATCTGCACTGAGGAAGCGGGATGAGGATCGGCAGAAGATTGAGAGGGAGGCATCGTGGCTGTCATTTCTTCGTGATGCGAATGCTGTTCACTTTTGCAGTATCCCAACTCTGCCTCAGAGCGGATACCCTTGGAGTTCCCTGTCGGCCCCCTCGAAGATGTTTCCTGAATGAGCGATGATCGGAGCTTGTGGATTAAGAGCTGAGGGTTCAGGGTTTGGGGGAGTAAAAGCCTCCAGTTTTGCCCGCTTTGCTGGTGAAGATTTCATTCGATGTCAACCTTCATCGCAAGTGCCCAACATGTTGCATTATCCCGTGCCTTACCTACTCTACGATTATGTCAATCTCAGGAGTGCTAAGTCTAGAGACACAATGATTTCCAGAAATAGGAGAAAATTAGGAAATACATAGGACTTATGGCTTTGTAGGAAATAGGAAAGAAATAGGAAAATAGGAAATGAAATTCAATGAGAGAAAATAGAAGAAAAATTCTGATAAAATGAGAATAAAATAAGAGAAAAATAGAAGAACAATCGGAAATATAGAAGTGCGTGCTATAAAAATGAAGATGGCGACCCACCCTTGGACCAACGTTAACAGGTAATGTAGAATCTCAAACAAGTGCCAAGACAATTCTCTAGGGCTCCTGCTTATATTCAGAGTATCTTACCCTAAAGTCCTACGTTCAGTCTTCAGGCCTCCTATGTTCCTTCCGTCCTGAATCCCAGCATTGGGCGAGCAACCGAGCCGCAGGCCAGCGAGGAGAAATCGCGGCGAATGACCTGGAAAGCCAAAACGCAAGCGGACACGATCAACGGAAAGAAGCAAAAGGCCAGCTAAGAGGCTTTCGGGTTCAGGATTCAGAAGGCGCACAAAGGCGGGATTAGTTTTCAGGGAGTGGGTTTTAGAGGGTTCAGCAATGGCCAGTTAGGTTAAGAGGGTCTTTGAGGCTACCATCTCAGATCAATAGAGGGAGCATGAAGGGCAGTTCGAGCACTTCGAGACTGTTTGGGGCAAGTCAGGGCTCAGCAGCCGGGAGTTCACCGTTTTCAATTGCGGGGCTTTAGGAGTCAAGCTACATGGGTTTCGATTATTGGAGATTGGGTTTAACACTCGCAGGGTTTATAGCAACTGCAGGTTGAGGTTTGAAGCACCACAGGTGTTGTTTGAGTCTGCGTGCTGGGTAGTGATAGCTGCAGCAATCCCGTCAGTCAAAGTCGGTGTAATGAGGACCAGTTCCACAGCATAATCTTGAAAGACACATTCCTCCCACCGCTATTATTCCTGCCGCCCGTTGCTCCTACTTCTACGGCGACGACCAGCACTACTACGACGAAGACTACAACGGGCAGCACTAGCACGCCTCCCCTACCCCTACCCCTACCCCTACCCCACCCCTCCCCCCCTACCACCCCGACCCCCACCCCTTCCCCGACCCGTACCCCTGCCTACCACGACGACTACGACGACGACGACAACTACCACTACTACTACTATTTTCAATTGAACGCTGTGCGAGCGGGCTCTGCACATAGCGGGCGATTGCCGCGGTGCACTCACTTTGGTGTGAAACTGACTCAGACCCTATAGCTGATCCGCCCAGGTCAAAAGACCTTTGAGTGGTTGCGGCCTACAGGCTTTGAGCTAACTGGCAGTGATCAGCCAAAGCGAGTTTGCAGGCTGCAGGGTATCAAGCTCCAGATTGTTGTATGTACCTGAACATTGAAACGGAATTCGCGTTGTGTATGCTGTCAGCAGAGCAGCAGTAGCGCGACCGGCAGCAGGCTAGGGCATGATTTCCGACTGACAGCGGCGGCATCCGGCAGAAGGGCCATCAGTCTGTCTCGGAAGAGACGCAAGTGAGAACAGGCATGGCCTCCGCGACTTACTGCTTAGTCTGCCAGTGGCACCATTGGTTGCAGCGTTGGAGAGGGCATGCAGGGCGCTGCCTTGCCGCTGCTTGCCGCCTCCGGATGTCTGGCGTCGAGTGTCGACCCCAAGCGGCTCAGATGGCTCTCCCATTAGTGAATCTGGAGCCAGGGGAGAGGCGGTTCGACCACTTTTGTGGTCCGGGCTGTGGATCGTGTCAGCCATGCTGGGTCAGCCTGAAAAGCTGCGGGTAAGCCTGCGCATGCCTAAAGCATGCTTGGCCTTGACGTGGGGGGGGCCATGCCCACCTATTGTGGGGTCCGGCCTTCCCACGCACAGGCACCCTATTGGTGCACGCATTCCTAGGTTTGGAGGGCCAGCACTCACCCCTTGAGGGTGAGTCAGAGTCACTCCTGTCTTCTCAAGAAAAGGAGGTAGCAGTCTTCCATAACATGTTTGCGATCTGAGGCCGAGGCTGGGTATGGGCGGGTGGCATCATCCCCCACATACAGCGCGCCTCCATTTGGGTGAATCCAGAAGGACCGGTAGTGGCCGGAGTGTATGTCAGCACCTATGTGAAAAACTCCCGAAATGACTGCATATTGATGCCATTGCCGGCCCTGACCCTCAATCCAAGACGGCATTGAGAGGTGCCTGCGCAGGTCCAGCGGGGTGCGTCGTTTTGTGCCGTCCATCCATCGAGCGATTGTGACTGGCAGGATGTCAGGGGCCCATGCCAGGGCGCGCTGGAACGTGTGGTCATACCATGCCGTGCAGGCCTGCTGCAGTGTACGACAGGCTGAGGAAAGGGGCAGCAGCAACGGCGTGAGGCCGTCATCCTCACTTTCCGGCACTCCATTAGTGCGTCCTTCCCAGCGAGCGGGTTGCAGAGTCCCCGTGTTGTGCTCTAGCATGTATGTGACAAATTCGGAGGCGTCTTGTTGACGGCCATCGAATCGCCATCTAGGCACTAAGGACCGGAGAGCGAATAGGCTTGGAGGGTTTATGTGCCTCGTATCCATTGGATCCGCTTCCGGGTTGATGCAGTGTTGGACCAGTGGTCCCAGTTCCGCTACATTGGACGCAGAGTCTAGCGCGGCTAGTAGGGCCTGAATGGTCGCATTGACATAGCAGGTGTTACCCGAGTTCACCATGTGTCGCATACGAGAATACAGGCCTGGCGGGAGAGTGCTGCCGACGGCGCCCGTCGTTGCCATGGCAACAGTGGGTGATGCAGCCGCGGTAGCTGGCTTGTCTGCAGCCCCAAAAAAGCCACTAAGTGACATTGTCACCGCGGTCTTGGGATGAGGCTTGGAACATTGTTCCCGCATCTTGTCCGTGCCTTGCACCTTGTGCCACCCAAGCAGAACCTGAAACAGGACAATGCATTGCTCAGGGTGTTTGCGTTTGTCATAGACCGGCAGCCTGCAAAAGGGGCAGGGGTGCCCCTTTATCATCTGCACAGAATAGGCCTTGCAAAGCTGAAGTGCTGCCGGACCATCTCGCTGCCATGCTTGTGCATGGGCCTGTCGTTGATGATTCTTCATCTTGGTATGGTCCGGGGTCCAAAAACCGCACAAAATGCACCGATGCTTAAGCTCCTGAGCCTCTGGCCGGGTGGCAATGGCACTGAGTTTGTTGCTGGGCGAACTCTGCACCTTGGCGCGAAAGGCCGCCAGGCCCTGGAGGGCCTGACCCTGCATCTGTTCCTCAGTGGTGAGAGAGATCTGACGCAGTCGTTCCGGCTGCGTGCAGGCCCCCGATAAGAGATGGTCACGTAGGCCTTTCCATTGATGGAAAGCCTTGTCGCATGCAGAACATACAGGTAGACCATCCTTGGAGTGCCGACTGCGATCAAAGGAGGGGGGAATGTACCTTTGCACGTGCTCGCGATGCATTCGCGTGACGTGCATGTGTAAGCCATGTGCAGAGACAAAACCCGACTCGCAGTGAGGGCAGGCGTGTAGCCGCTGCTGTGAGGCCTCGGTGCTCGCCGGGAGGTTTTCCACCTCTCTCAGCATGTCCTGTAGGTCCTGTACGACGTGGCTCAGTTGCGTGACGTCACCGTATGTATGTGGTTCAGACGGCTGCTGGTGTGTTGCTAGGCCCGTCGCTGGTGGACTCAGCCTGGCCCATGGGCCCCGCGTCGCTGAGGGTTCACTGGGAGTGTGTGCAGGCAGGGCTGTAGTGGTGGCTTCGGAGGGGGCTGTTCTCTTGCACAACCGCTTGAGTCTAGAAGCCATCCTTGTTTGGATTTTGGCTACCGGGTCTTGGATTGAATATAGTCGGTACAGGTCAGCTGTAGGTGTGTGGCCGACGTGTGCAGGCTGATTGAGGACCGAGCGTATCTTGTGTGCATACCAGCCTCTAAGATGCCTGGCCGTCTCCTCCGTGAGGCCGACTTCGGGGAGTCCCGTGACCAAGGTGGCCCAAACGGTGGTGAACCAGACCTTTAGCCTGGCCATTGGCCCCGCGGTGCGGCGATTGTAGACGAATCGCTTGACCTGCTGGAGCTTTTTGGCAGCCTCCGCTATGCGGAATCGCAGCGTCTGCATTTCAAAGTTCCCATAGGAAATTTGGATGCCCAGGTACTTGATTTGCGCCTCAAGTTTGTATGCAGGGAAGGATCTGTGCTTGCCCAGTCGCCAATGCCGCTGTAGTGTGCCCGTCGAGTCGGGCAGCCAGCAGGTGTGCTTCTGAAGCACGGCTTCCGCCTCTCTGCCGTTAAGCTTGACTAGCATGGCACATTTGGCCGGGTTGACGCGTAATCCCAGTTTCGTCACCTCCGACAGAAGCTGTAGGATCATCTTGTGAGCAGCGTCCACGTCTGCTTGGCTGCGGATGGTGCGATGCATGGTGAAGTCGTCCGCGTAACCTGTAAAGTATCTGCGGACATTGTCCCAGCCAAATGCGTCTATCAGTCTATGAAGGAGGCGGCCTGTGAGCACGGAAAACAGCGTGGGGGCCAACTTGCAGCCTTGTTTGATGCCAGTGGTAGTTTCCACGTCCTTGTAGGCCCCCTGAGAATGAAGTCTGTATTTAGATCGATGATGAAGGCCGTGTATGAGTTTCTTAAGCGGGGGATCCGCGCCCAGCTCATCTAGCAGGGACAAGATCTCACTTCGGGACACAGTGTCGAATGCCTGTGACAGGTCTAGTGCGAAAGTGATGCCGCCGACGAGACCTACAGGACATTGTCCCCGCTGCTGATCCGCTCGGGTGAGATTCGCATTGCGACAGAGCTGCCTTGCTTCCCTTAAATGCTGAACCACTCTGCTCTGTGCATCCGAAAGACCTCTCCCAGGGAGGTATGCAAACTGGGGTAGAGGCTTCATGTATGGCAGCGTGAAAGGCTCCAGGAGCTCCTTGGCCGTGCCCGCCAGTCCTTTAGCATCCGGGCGAAGAATGCCCAGCGGCCTGAGTTGTGAAGGCTTGTCAGCCGGCTTGCCCGGTTTGGGGATTAAGCAGAGATCTGCGCGAGTCAGATCGTCGTCCAGTGACTGGTCCTGCGTCAGGCTTGAACAGTATTGTGAAAGCGCCGCAGAGATCGGCTGAGCACAGAGCTTCCAGGCTGCGGCCGGTGCCGCTCCTTTCGGAACTGCCTTGCTAGGCTTGATCGAGGCAATATGTTTTGCTAACTTGGTCTGTGGCAATAGGGGCAGGAGTCCCGAATCAGACGGGAGCTGTGGGTGCGCCGCAAAGACCTTAGTTGCATACTTCCCCAGTTCATCCAGTTCGTTTGCAGGACTGAGCAGGAAGCCGTGCGCGTCCTTAAGCTGAGCTTTCAAAGCCGGTTTCCACGGCCGGAGGTGCTTAAGAGTCTGATATGCCAGGTGCTGATCGCCCTGGCTCAGAGCCTGATCAACCTCAGCAAGAAACCGTTTGGTCTGGTCCTTGCGAGCCTGCTTAACCGCCTGTTTATGCTGATCACACAGCCTCTGCCGGGCTTCATCCTCCGGCGATGGCTCCGCACTGGGGTGAGCATTGCTCCCACGCGCCGAGCGCCACATGCGTCTGGCAAGGCTCGTCTCCGGACTATCTGGCATTGCCACTGGGGTCTTAGGGAAAAACCTGGATGCGGCTTCGCCAAGGAGGCGATCCCATGACGCCGGCTGCATGTCCGGAGTGAGTCGTGCTGTAACCCACTCGAGCATGTGCTGAGCTGGCAGCGTGTTGTCCCTGACAGCCGCTTGCAGAGCAGCGGTGTCATAATGATGCTGCTGTATCTGAGGGGCTGGCAGGTTCCAGTGCCGAACTGGTTTGACAGCTGCACTGATGGGTAAGTGCCCGCCTTTCTTCCAGCTTCCAAGCGGGAAAGCTGCCAGCGGCGTAGAGTTTTTGGCAGCTCCTCCAGCAGAGACCTCCCTCGTAAGCACAAAGTCAATTTGAGTGCGCGTATCCCCTTGCTGAAACGTATGTGGCGGCTGAGGCCTCCACGTGTTGAGGGCAACCAAGCGATGATTAAGCAGAAAGTTGGTAAGCTCTGGCTCATCAGATCTCGGTTCCTGTGGGCTAATGATCTCTGGACCAACCAGCCTAGGCTGCTTTTGCAAGGAACTATTGAAATCTCCTGCCAGGATAAGCGTGTCCCTGTGCGGCACGCGTTGCACGCATCTGCTAAGAGCCTTCAGGACATGTGCTCTGTCCTGACGATTGGTCTGTACCTGCTTGGCCGGTGACCAGACGTGTTGATACACAGCAACCAGGTTGATGCGGGCCCCGTGCCAGTCAAACCTGACCTCCAGGGCTCTGCCTATGACATGTTCCTGCCAGCGCACACTTTTGGGCAGTATGTGTGGGGACAGGAAAACCATAACCCCGTCCGCGCGAGTTGTTGAGGGCTCCTTGCGGGGTGGGGTCATCTTATCGTCATTAGGCATTGCCTCTGCAGGTGACTGTTTATGGGCCTTGCCCCCGCGTTGCTTTCGTCTAGAGGCCTTCGGATCTGCAGCAGAAGCAGACGAGATGCAGTACCAGCCTGCAACACTAAATTCGGCCGTAGCCTGCCAGTGGGTCTCCTGCAGGACGAACACATCACAGGTGTGGTGTGCCTCAGTGGAGAGCCATGATTTGACTTCCGACCATTGTTGCTGGCCAAGATGGCCTGCATTCCAGGACAGTACTCGGAGAGGCCTGGTGGCCTGTCCTGCCCGAGATCGTGGTGCAAAAGACTGCTTGGAGCCCGGCTGCGGTGGGCAGTTGCCCATGCGCCTGAGAAGAGCTGGGGTCAGAACCTGACCTCGGTAAGAAACAGGCTGCTGGCTTGCAGCCACCTGTCGGCAAACATGCTTGAAAGAATTCTTCCTGATCTGAGAATAATTTTGTGAGTGCACTGGGAGCAGCGCCATCCGCTATTTCGTCACAAGGCAAGCCGAGTGACTCCCTCCACCACGCGGCTAGTGGAAACCCTACCGCCTGCCCAGTGGGCCCGTGTTGAGACAGGGTACTGGGTCCAGGAATTGGGACCTGGCGGCTCAGACGCAAACTGTTGGCACATGGCACATGGCTCAGCGTGAGGAACCAACCCTTAGTCGTTCGGAGAGAGGCCTGTTTGAGACCTCTAGCAACGCAAGGTTGGAATCCAGAGCCTGTTCGAAAGCCAGCGCGAAACTTCCAAAACGTCTGAGCCGTGGCGGCTACTACTACTACTACTACTACTACTACTACTACTACTACTACTACTACCACTGCTATGCTACTGCTCCTCTTCAAGGCGGAAGGCCTGCGACCAAGGATGGAGCTTCTGAATTTAGCTTGGCAGCTTCCATCGCTACTTGCCGGTGTAGAATTCCTACAAGGCTAGCGCATATCACCCACAAGTCTGAGGCTTGGGATTCATGCAAGGTTTAGAGTTTAGGGACTTTAGCTCCCTGAACACTCTCGCAACCCTTGCTATCCGCAGCCCGCTGAAAGCTGTTCAGCCACCACATCGTGGAAAAGCCGGTCTGAATCAACCAAATCAGAGCCATGGCCCTAGCTCAACTTGCGTACCGCCGTACCTTCATTGACGTGATGGATGGCAAGGATGCAGATCCTCGTGCTCGCGCCCGTAGCCTCTCTCCTACCCGGATGTCGACCAGCCCGGAGCCTCTTCTTCAGGACGTGTGGGCATATCGTCATCTTCGCACTCTGCAGCAAGGGCAGAGCGCAAGGGTCTTCGATGCACCGGTCGCAAGTCGGGGCAGTGTCGGACACCCGGCCTTGTGCAGCAAACCATGCGTTTGCCTCGCAAGCCGGGGGCACTGCCAGAGAGGTTCGGCCTGTGGCTTTTGCCACTATCAGCACGATGACCCGAAGCCCGACAAGAAGCAGCGCCTTTTGATGAGCACGATGCCAAGGGCAGAGCTACTCAGCCTTCTGGCAGATCTACTTCGGGAGCGTGCAGAGCAAGATGGACTCCATGATGTGAGCTTCGTGTTGGCCGTCTCTCGGTCGATTTAGCGCTGCTTGCTGTAATCAGAGGAGTGTGCTCGATGGGCGGCAACTACAGCCTGTGGGGCTATGATCTAAATCCTACTCACGAAGTACAAGCCCAAATCCCGAAGCCCTAAGCCCTGCTCCCATGACCTGACCTATGAAACCCTAAACCCCCCTCCCCCCCACCAAAAAAAAAACTGGAAGCCCATGGACACAACAGACGAGGTGCTTTCCGTCCATTCAGGACTTCTACCAGGTCGTTGGCAGACGAAGTCTCGCAAGCTTCACAACCTGCGACAGGTACCGAACCATAACTGGGCTTTCCGCTATGGCGTTTACGATTCATGTCTGCTAATGCAGGAGCCTTATTAAGAAACCTTGGGCCTTTGCTAGGGTTCCTTATATGAATCCTACTATTTGGGGGGTGATACGCCCAGGGTGTCTTAATCAGGTTCCTACATGTAAGAAATCCCCCAACTACTTCAGCATAACATTTCGAGTACGAGAAGTGGCTTTCCAATGACGGGAGCGAAGGGCCTGTAAAAAAATGGCTTAAATACATTATGGTATAGTGGGCCCAAAAACCCTATTCTTTAGGCCCCTATAGTAGTTATGATTGGCGTGAGCTCTTCGGGGCTTCACGGTGTTGGAGACAGCTCAAGCTTTGAGATTTCGACCACCAGGTGCTTCAGCGCATGAACTTCTCCGGCATTCTATTGTTGGCTGCGAAAAAGTGTGAAGGCCGCAGCCAGGCCGTCATGCTTCAGGAGCTGGGTGCTTTGCGACAGAGTGCCAGGCACACGTGACCTAATTATGCTGGCTACATCTCAGCTATCCCAGTAATCCCTGCTGCGCCTTTCAGATGTTACCATCGGTCTACAGCATCGTAAAACCATGTGCAGTACATTATGGGTACCTATTGTGCAGATACACCTGGACGTAGATATCCATATAGCCACATCTTGCAGAGAGTCGGCATACGGGTGCATTGTTCCTCCGGCTTCTCATAGTCTCCAACTGAGACCATGGGAAGAAGGCAGCGTTTGGTCTTAAATCGGAGGTCCATCTGAGGGGCTCTCACAACAAGGATTCTACTCTTCCAGGGTTCACAGTATCGCTTGTTTTTCTGAGACTCCCATCCCCGCGCGCGGGATTCCCAAATCTAATCCCTCGCACAGTGGCCCTAGCAGGTCCACATCTCCCTGGTTCGTAGTAGGGAATGAGGGAATGGAAAAACCCGAAACCCTAAATCGTTAGCATAGTTCTAAGGTTGGAAGTATGGGCCCCGAGTATGAACCCTTAGGACGTTTTCAGGGAGTTCTAGGGACCCTCAAGAGTCTACATAGGGTATATAGTTATTCTAAGGATCCCAGGGATAAGGGCCCATCGTTACTTCCCCTATATATTCCCTAGGGAGGGCTTTGGGACATTTTATATTTTCCCTTATTGGGCTTAAGAGGACCTTATTTACTCATATTTTTCAATTCTCTAAAAGCCCCACCTAGATTCCGTACTAAGAACCAGGGAGTCATCCGGTTACACACGTGCTCTCGTCGGACTAGCGATCCCAAGCATTTAGGATTTGTATTGGGTCCCCATTTTCTGAAGACGGGCGCATCATACCGAAGATGTCCGTTGGGAGCCAAATGTCAGAGCCATCCCGGGACTCCACCCGTCTGCTATGCTAGCAGTGTGTTGGATGCTCCCTTCAGTTTTTTTGCACGACGTGCTTTCGAACGCACATGTTGGCGGCACTTTTAGGGGCGCTGCAGAGCTCAACACAATAAACCCTAGACCCCCTATATACCCTCTAAACTCTAAACCGTCTCAACCCTAAAACCTCTGCACCCTCTGAACCTTAAACCCTGAACCCTACAGCCATATGGCTCCGGTCTGCCGGAGCTTGGCCCCCCTTGCACAGAGCCGCCCACCGGGCTGCGTTTCACAACCTCTCCTTGCTTATAGAATTGGTAGTTCAGGGCCAGAGTATATACAAAATGGCTTGGACCCGTAGGGCATGGCTCGGAGGCTAGGAGCCTTGGAGACAGTCTTGCGGCTTAGAAGCTTCTCGACGAGGAAGGACATCGTGGCGCTGTTGTGCATAGATCCTGCCCGGGTTAGGGTTTAGAGTTTCGAACAATTTCGGACTCAGCCTGACAATGTCTGTGTTTGGAGATGTCCTGTTTTCGGAAAGCCCGATCCAAAGACTGAAGTACGATGCTTGCAAGCGGTCCAAAAAGTGGCTCTGCCTTATACGTTGTAGCCTGTTGGATGTGGGGTGTGGGCTGGGATTCTCCAAGGCGTCGCAGTACAAACTCACCCAGCGCGACCTCGAATTTCGCAGGAAATCTATATTGTAGTACCCTTATAGATCCCTTATTGTAAACTTTATAGACCCCTTTAAAGCAACCCTATTTAGGGCTTCGAATCTCGCAGGAAATCACCGATCTTTGGATGAACAGCTGCCTGACGATCCTGCTTCCGCGCCAGCCGCCGGGATGAATCGTTAGGGGCTTAGGGTTTAGGGTTTAAGGTTTAGGGTTTAGGCTGGGCCCCAGAGACTGCAGGGGCCAGTAAAACTACAGGGGCCTTAATAGTTCGAATAGGGTTCCTTTAAAGGGGGTCTATAAGTTAGGGATCCATAAGGGTACTATAATTTAGGGGCCTTAATAATTAGAATAGGATTTTGGGAATCATTATACTGCAGTTATGATAAGGGATAAGGAGCCCGCCCAACAGTAGACGAGGTAGGCCTTTCAAGGGCAAAGCTTGCCAGAGCTGATACTATGTTCAGGATCTTCTGTGTTCTACTTCAGGCCAGGTCTATTCCTTAAGTAGGAGGTTCCTGGAGCTTCCAGGAACCCAGAGACTCCAATATCCCTAAATTAAGGCATATTCCTGAAAATTTTAAATATAGTGATTTAAGGAATATTCCTTGATCTAGGACCCAGAGTAGGCCCTTATTCCCTTTTTTTAGGGTTCAGGTTCCCTTATAAACCCCTTTAAACCAAAAAGGGCACCCTTTTTATTCCTAGGTTACTCTTAGGTCTAGTAATTAAGGGACGGCTTGTGTCGGGTTCCAGGCCAGGGACACCTGGAGGGTTTCGGCAGGGCTACAGTCTTCGCCTTTTGGCGCCAGTGTTGCACAAGGGTGGGAGTGGGAGGCTTGGGAAGGGTTTAGGGTTTAGGGAAGGAATCGTTTCAGGCTTGTGGGGTGATTTTCCTCGCAGGTAAGTCTAGGTGCGGCTGAGGGGGATCTCGATTGGATATTGAAACGAGCCGGTGGGCTGCTAAGCACAGCCCGGTGCATCTGAGTCAAGCAGGTCAGGCATGGTTGCATAGCGTGGCATGCGTCAAACATCCTACTTTCCGGATGCTTGGCACTTGGCGCAGTACTTGGAGGTTCATGGTTAGTTATGAGTAGGGTTATAAGTGGATAACGACAGTTATAACCCACATTCGGGGACTTATAGCCCCACCTATAGCTACCCATGAACCTCCAAGTAGGACGTCTCACCTGGACGAGTCGTCGCGTCGGTGTCGAAAAGGGCCCTGCGCCTGCAGGGCCCTGCGCCTGCTAACAGAAGACCCAGAGAGCCCAATACTCTTTAATTAAGGAACATAGCATCATAATAAGAATCTGCCTGCTTATGGTTTAAGGTATGTTCCTTAATTAAGGAATATACCTTAAATCAAAAGGGGTTCAAATTATGATTTAAGCTATATGCCTTAATTCAGGGGTAAGGGCTCTCTAGAGAGGACAGCCGGTCTGCAGCATTTTCGAGAGCGATGCCAGGTTTCAGCTACAGAGCGTCAGGACCAGTCAGCTTCTGAAGGGTTCTTCCAGCAGCTGGCGATTCAGGGTTTAGGCCAGCATGAGCTGCGATTCAAACTTGTCTGGTGTTTTATTGACTTCTAATTGACCTACCAGCATCAGGCATGATGATCCGCCGACCCTAAACCCTAAACCCTAAGCCGTAAACCCCAAACCCTAAGCCCTAAACCCTATTCCGATCCGCCCCCACAGCTTCAGACAGACCGTTCACTGGCAAATCTCCAACCGTAGGCTCCGAGTCCTCGCTGGATACTATCAAAAATCCAAAGAAGTACGGTTGATGATATAAGTCCTGCAGTACCCATAGTAAGGAATATACCATAATTCCCATACGTTAGGGTCCTTAAGGTAATGCACGTTTTATATCATCAACTGGTTGATGATATAAACCCTGCAGTACCTTAAGGACCTTAAACTACGGGAATCATGGAAAATTTCTTATTATGGGTAGTGCAGGATTTGATCACCAACCGTATGGAACCTTTATCCTTCCAAGTGTAACCACTTCACAACTCTCAAAACCTTCAAGCCATGTAAGACCCTTTGCAGGCATCACCATCTTCCTCGCCGGGCATCCAAGAATGATCAAAACTGCTCGGGTCGCGGGAGCGACGCCAGCAAGGCCAATACCAGGGAACCGAAGGTCGCGGCATTGCAATGCTGGGTTTCTGATTACCATACTGTATTGCTCTTTTATTGGACCTGTTCCTGAAAGGAACCACTACGCACAAAGAGTCAAATGTGAGCCCAGAAAGTTGGAACATGGATTGAGGGTGATTAGTGCCAGGATTCCCTTTTCATTACTGTAAGGGCATGAGGGTATTGATGTTCCAACTTTCTGGCTTCTACAAAACGCAGTTTTCTCCCTGGTTACCCAGAGAGCCCAATACCCCTTAATTAAGGAATTTTCTTTAAACTATAAGGGGACTCATATTATGATTTAAGCTATATTCCTTAATTAAGGCGTATTGGGCTCTCTGGTTACTTCAGAGCCCAGAATGAGATTCGCTTCAGCGTTTAGGTGTTGAGGGGCTCAGGGGTGTGGGAGTTTCTCTGGGCGTAGGAGTTTGGTGTTTAGGGGTTTGGGTGTACTACTGATTAAGGAGAATGTTTAAAACTGCGTACCCTAAACCTTATCAATCCTCAACCCTGAACCCTATATTTTAGGGTTTTAGGCTATAGGAGTTTAGGGTCTCTGCCCTGATGTGGAGAGGGCCTGCTTTCGGCTGTTTGGTGGCCGGGCCAGCATGTCCATCTACTAGGACCTAGAGTAGGCCCTTTTTCCCTTTTAAGGGTTCAGGTTCCCTTGTAACCCCCTTTAAGCCAAAAAGGGCACCCTTTTTATTCCCAGGTTACTGTTAGGTCTAGTCCAGCAGATTCGCACTTCACACAAGTTCAGTGTAACCGCATCTCTGTAGAGCACAGACAATTCTGAGGTGAAGGACAGCTGCAAGAACATGAGCATGCCGCGATCTCGGAGATTGCAGCCCTCATGGGGGGGTGGGCATGGTCTGTGTTTTGGGATCGGCCGGCGGCTGTGCTTCTAAGCGCTCAAGTTCTCCACTGTGCATTACGTTCTGAGTTGGTTGCAGATGTGGGGATAGCGTCAGGTACTGCCTACTGATGGTGGGCCTGATGTGCAGCTTGCAGGCTCTGCCGCGAGCTGGGATGCGTGTGAGACCACCTTGGGGTTATTCATAGAGGAACCATAGGAGGCCAAAAGGGGTTTTAGCCTATGGGGGTTTAGTAGGGATTCGGGTTCCCATAACAGGCTTCATATTCAGGAATTCCTACCCCAAGAATCTTAAACACCCCTTCTCGCCTCCCATCAAGGAACCTTCATACAAACCTTTGATAGAAGGGCCCGAGATCTGCCGGGGGGCTGGCCGAGAAATGGGAGCAAACGAGCAGAGGCATGAAAATAGCGCAGTCAAATGTAACATTATTAGACAATCTAAAGCCACATGATACGATAAAAGGGTGTATACCAATATCTCTTTATTTATTTAGTGGGATACGGTATGATAGAGTACAGTATTATATTATATACTATGATGGTTTCGGGGCCCCCCAACCCCCAAATCTGGAAACCACCGAGTCGACATCCCCTGGCACAAAGCCCCGACCAAGCTCTTCACGGCGCTTCATATGGGTGGTTGCCAAAATTGTGGTCCCTTTTGGGGTACCGTAAATATTAGGTGCCGTACTATATCAGGGGACCCAAAACCATATCATTCGGTTTAGGGTTCAGGGTTCATTCTGCAGATGCAGTGGATACTGCCACCACTGAGTAGCAGGGTGAATACTGCTATAATATGTGCAGGTATGTTTTTGAATACTAGCCTTACTATAGGCTGTGTCGCTACAAGGGCATTACCCGAAAGATACAACACAATGAGCCCCAAGTGGACTTCCACACAGCTGGAACATCCTCATGCCCTGGAGGCACAACGAAAGGAATCTCAGCAGTCATCCTAAATGGTCTTAAATCCACGTTCCAACTTTCTGGAGTCACTGTGCCATAATATATTAAAACAGACGATAAACAATACTCTAAGATACTACAATACAATATACGTTAACATTCAGTTTTCTGGGAGTCACTGCAAGTCATACAAAGCTGCACGGAGGCTTTTTTCGAAACGCTTGCCTTGCTGGGTAGCCTCGGCGGGAGGAGGACTAATTTGGTGGTATCTGAATAAATAGCGTTATTTGGAGGTTCATGGGTTTAGGGCTCAGCGTTGTTATAAGTGGGTTTGTAAGTTGGTTACCGAAGGTTATAGCCGGCAATGACTGAGGGGTCTATAACCCGTGCTGACACCTGCCCATGAACCTGCAAGTAGAGAGAGTTGGATTGATGTAGGGTCTAGGGTAAACAGTAAGAAATTACATGGTGATATCCTAAACCCTAAACCCTAAACCCTATACCTTGTTCCAAGGAGCCCGTAGGGAGGCCTGGAAGATTCTTCCTGGGATGCCCGAGTAATCCTTGTTTCCGACATGGGTTTCGGATTTTCCCTCTAGGCTCGAGCATTGCCAAGTGCCCAGAGACTCCAATACCCATTATTTCAGGAGTATACACTTAAAATATAGTAGGATCCATAATTTGATCCCTAAACCCTAAACCCTTAAAATATAGTAGGATCCATTATTTGATTTAAAGAATATTCTTTCGTTAAGGTATAGTGGAGTCTCTGGGCACTTGGTTCAAGGCCTTGGGCCTTGCTTTGGGACGCCGAAAAGGGTTTAGGGCTTAGGGCATACTTGGAGGGTCGGGGGACTTGGTAAGTAGGTAGTAAGTAGACTTATAAGTACCCTAAAAGGGACCCTGATTAGGGTTATGGTACTTATAAGTCCTTAAAATAACCAGGTTACTAAGTCCCCCGACCCTCCAAGTAGGGGCTCATGAACGTCCCAGCCTCCATGCCTCCTTAGCTTTGCAGGGTTTGAGAAGGGTTCTACGAAGGTTCTATGGGATTTGGGTTTAGGTCAGTTGAAGGTTTGAGGTCGTGCAGGGGATTTGGGTTTAAGTAAGTTGAAGGTTTAAGGTCATGTAGGGGATTTGGGTTTAGGTAAGTTGAAGGTTTAAGTAAACGTCGTGTAGGGGATTTGGGTTTAGGTAAGTTGAAGGTTTAAGTAAACGTCGTGTAGGGGAATTGGGTTTAGGTAAGTTGAAGGTTTAAGTAAACGTCGTGTAGGGGATTTGGGTTTAGTGAAGTTGAAGGTTTAAGGTCATGTAGGGCTCGGACTAATCAGTGACAAAATCTCCTAATCGCCCGTCTAGTCAGTATACTACAATACGCCCCGAAAGCCTGAAAGTATACAGACCCTCGTGCTACAGCCAAACAGCTTTCTTGGGCGTACTTGGAAATATTTTTTAATTTTTGGTTATTATAATCCCTAAGAAACAGCTAAAATTATAATTTTTGCTAGGGTTCTAAGTTCAGTGTAGCTTTGTCTGTTGCCACCATCCGATGTCGTGATTTCATCAGGCTTTGATACCAGGGGCCTTGAGCCGTTTGAGCCCTGATGACAAGCTTGCCTTAGAGCCCTGTTGCAGCAAATCTTAAACCCCTGAACCCTAAACCTACAGCCTGATAAACCTCCCTTCCTGTCAACAGCAAAGCCTTAGATCCTATCCTGTTGGGCCTGAATAATTACCAAGTGTTTTGGGGTGGTTCCTCGTTAGTTTTCTAGTATAATGGGCCCCAGAACCCTATTCTAACGATGAAGGCCCCTATATTAAGCCCAACCCTCCAGCCTCTGAAGGACCACCAGCACCATTGTGGCACCCGGCTCGCGCGGCGGGCTCGGGCACAAGCCAGAGCTCACTTAGATAAATGGTGCTGCTTTCAGGGTTCTATAATGTTAGGGGCATTGAGGATCAGAGCTGGGTTGCTTCTGGGCATCGGAGTACCATACTTTAATACTTGTTCGGGACCTGTTACTGAAAGGGAACCATTATGAAATAAAAGTCTATACTTTTTTCTCCCTGGTTACTTCCAAGCCCAGGCCTTAAGGGTTCTACAAAATGCAGGAATTAAGAATTATAGTAGGGTTCTGGTGTAGAATATAAGTATATTACTGTATCTCTCATTTCCATCCAGGAACCCGAAGGAACAGACCCCAGTCAGTGCGTTCTGCTGGGGTTCTTCAGCCTTTACACAGGTTCAGGCTTGATGTGCCATACAAACGTCGAAGTATTTAGTATTAAGCATTCCCTTAAATCACCATGCACTTAGAGCACACTATCCCCAAAGCCCTATTTTAGTTGCTGAGGCCCTTACCCTACGTACGGCTTAGGGTTACCAACAAGTACTGCGGACTCTGCATTGATGATCCAACGGCGTTGCGCGTTGTAGTTGGCATGCTTCTCAGGAGCCTTCGCAAATATCCGCACAATAGATGATTACCGTTCCCCGAACCCCAAGTCGCGTGTTGGGCTAGACCGAGCTGAGGCGACAACGTCACCACCTACACCACGCAGGCCAGACAAGCAAGTGTTGCCATGTCCCTGTAGAAGCCCAGTAGGCCCTACTGGTGACTTGGAGGTTCATGGGTACTTATAAGTGGGGTTATAAGTCCTTTGATATGGGTTATAATTGTAGATATCCTACTTATAACCCACTTATAACTACCCATGAACCTTCAAGTATAGCAGATACTTACAGCAACGCTTATGCTTACCCTTATAGAAACGCCTGTAGTAAGCCTTATAGTTACTGTTACAACCCTTTTGGTTGCCCTGTTCCTTCAGGCAAGCCCAGGCACTATTCCCGGTATAGGTAGTCTGTCCCTGATAGGTGCAGTAGAAAGAACATGCTGTAGGGAAACAGAGTGTTGAAGAAGCTGTTCTCCTACCTGATGTCTTCAGGTCACGACCCACCCCTTCTTCGACAAGTCGCAAGGTGTGGTGTACAATGCAGGGACCTCAGAGTTTGAGAAGATCCGGGGAAAAATATGTAACATAGGTACAAGTAACAAAAAGGTTATAGCTCATTGTAAGTGTAGTTAAACTTAAATCATAGCTCTACTTACTAAGCCCTTCGATCCTTGAAGTACTGTGAAACTTCGGGTGTATTTTGGGGCTTAGCTGTTCGTGCTGGGAAATCTGAGACACGCTCTTAGAGTCAGAGACCCCTTTGTCAAAGCATACAGAATACCCTTGCAAATGCCCGCTCAGCCCCTGAGCTATTGAAGTTGTATTCCATT